TCCAGTCGCCATTCTGAGATTTCTGCTTATGTACTACTCTAGAACGAGATTGGCTGTGAAACTGGTGGTCAGTTTCTCTACATTGTGTAAAATCACCATTCTCAGAGTTGGCGTTTTTTCATGTCGTAGCTTTACATTAAACCTCTCATTGTATGTATTGGTTGGAAAATGTTGCTGCATTACGACATTGCATTACAAGTGTTGAATGTACATTTAACCTATTTATACACAATATATCTTCTGTACGTTTCGTCATGATCTATTCAAATCGTAATTCATTGATAAATGCATTTTTGAATAAATTTGAAATCCTAAATATTAACGTGGAGTTTTTGCAAATCATATAATCACAATTCTCGCGTTTCACAATAAAGTGCGCCCTCGGCGGATAACCTGGAAAGACGCATTTCTCACTTCCGGTGTCGACATCGCAATAATGGCGCCACCAGCGGAGAACGTTGAGAGGCTTATTTGTATGGCGGTCTTCTGTGACTTTAGTCGTCTGCGAGTCCCCGATTTAAAAAAATATTTAACTGATCGTCGTATACCATGTGCTGGGAAGAAGAAAAATGAGTTGGTTGAATTGGCACAAAAAGCAAGCGGTATATACGATGTTATTGAAGACTGTGATCATGATGAATCAGAGAGGAAACGCCGGCGGGTGTTAAATGATGACGGGACTGTTGCTGTTGACCTGAATGGTAAACAAGTGGTGTGGACACGAACACTTCATTGTCTCCCGAAAGTTGCGCTTGGTGACGTGTTTGCGTATTTAATAAAAAACTGCGAGTGGACACCGGAACGACTGACAAAATATAAACACGACGATGGGTATCTTATGTTTAAGGATAACCATGTAGAGGACGTTCTTTTAGGAAAGGTGTCTGGGCACATAGATCACGTCTATGTCAAAGCTGAGGTGAAACCGGAACAACGCCAAACTGCTCAGCGGTACGCAACTTGGCTACTTCTTTCATCAGATGCTGAAGTTATGTCCGCCGGTTGTGGCTGTGTTGCAGCGTAAGTGTTACCAAACCAGTAATTGTTATAATTATCTTACATGTACCATGTAGTTCAAACATTCATATCTTTAAGAAGCTACATGTAGTGTTTTGTTAATACTAGTATTAATGTACTGAGGCAAACATAATTAATTTGAAAAGATCTACATTGTTTACAAAAATTAGCATGTAAATATAAAGTTGTAAATAACAGTATATTTTAGTATTAAAGAATGCTTTAAAGTTTTAATCACTCCTTCCCACATCTTAGAACAAGTATAGTGCATGCCATCCATTTTCTCTAGTCCCCAGTTTTTAACTATACACACTAAAATAAATTATGGTTATATGGTAAAATATTTTTTTATTGGTTCCTCCATTAAAATATTTTATATTTATTTTTCTATTAGTGATGATGGTTCTTGCAAGCACACAGCTGCTCTACTATTTGCAGTAGCTGAATACGTAGACAGGCAGACTGACAGGGGAACTGCAGTAAGTACCGATGAGACTTGTGTGTGGACTAAGCCCCGCAAAACATCCATACCAGTTAAGGTGGAAGACCTAGATTATCGCAGAGATAAAACAACACCAAGGAAACCTGGTCCCCAACCTAAGAACTACAGACCACTGAGAACAGTGAACAATACAGACATTCTCAGGATTCAAGAGCATTTAAAAAGGGTGAGGTGCTGATTTTCTTAAGGGGTAACCATTTTAAAAATGGGGAGGGGCACTTGAGGAAATTGGATGTACATATTGTAAATTTTACTTTCTTCCCAACATGGTGGCAACATATTTTATAAACTAACAGCCTGTCGGCTGATATAGCTCCGCTGTATACTCTG